CCTGCACCGCAGCACACAGCACACGAGGGGTGATGTTGTTTTCACGGTCGGGCTGAGTGCGCTATTAAGGATTCATATAGGGCGACATTACTTTATATTCTTTTTGTGAGTTCTGAATACATAGCCTGGGCATAGGCCGGGTTATAGACTAGTATTTCCGAATACTGACTAGATTCGGGGGGTGCATGCTCGGCCCAACTGAGTTTTTGGAAGATGTGCCGGTGAGTTTTGGAAAAAAGTGCGGGGTGATCGGGGTTTTAGCTTCCGGGTTTTTTGCCTACTTCCTTCCCGCTTCCCGGTAGTCAGGGTACATTAGGGTTTATAGTGGGGTTTAAGGACCCGTTTTTGTATGGTTTTTTCAGGGAGAGCAACCTTTTCTTTCTCGTGAGCTTAGTCTGAAATCAGCAGTCTGAAATCAGCCGTCTGAAATCAGCTTCGTCTGAAATCAGCTTCGTCTGAAATCAGCAGTCTGAAATCAGCATAGCCATGATGCCTGCCACTCCTGAGTGGCCAGCCTGTGCGTTCTCGTCCTGGTACAAGGAAAACAAGAGTGTCTAGCCTCGGAGAATTTGAGGTTTTTTTTCGTGTGTTTTGATTTGATTTCAATGAGATGGCAGCGTTTGGGGCTTACAGATTTCATGAGTCCTGTGGTTGAAATGATTTGCAGGCTGTGCCCATGACTGCCAGATTGTTGATTGGCAACGAGAAGGCAGTTCGGAGTCGAGGTCCCAGTTTTACTTCTTTGGACATGAAGGTGATGTGACCGAAAGGTGGATGTCATCTGTGTCTATAGACCCTCTGAGGTGGCAATGAGTTTGCATACAGGAAGCCTGAAGGTGGCCTGCCTCTGTTGGTCTGTGACACGAGGACTGTCTCAGGCCTGGGAAGAGCCATGTTAAGTCACATGTGCAGTGTTTCAAGCATGTAGTTTTCGTTGTTTATTTGATAGGAGAAGATGGAAAAGTAATGGTTTTGGCACCCACAGCGGTTGCGACCTCGGTGGGTGTGTCAGCTGAGACCCTGAATGTGTATTGAATGAAGCCGTGAGCTTCACTTTAGCAATTGATCAGTTGTAGTTCTTTTCAACCTTTCCTGAGGACGGTCATTGGTTCTGCGGGGAGGGCACTTGGAATGAGGACCACACCGACGTGACAAGAGAGAGGGTGTGTTTCCGTTGCACAGACTCAAATGTGCTGAATGGAGGGTATCACAGCTGGCAGATTAATAACGCCGACGAGGGCCAGCCTCCAGTTTGGTCGGAGTGGCCGATGGTTTGCAGATCTCACTGGCAATAAGTGACAGACAATAAGTTAGTGTGACAATAAGTTTTCATTGGGATTTTTAGAACTGACTGTCGGGAGTTTTGTTTCGTATATGTTTTGCACATCAGCAGTCTGAAATCAGCAGTCTGAAATCAGCTTTGTCTGAAATCAGCAGTCTGAAATCAGCAGTCTGAGAGTTGCCGTGTTTGAGATCTGCTGCTGGCAGTGCGGGGCACCTGTTCGTCATGAAGGAAGCAAGGTTGTTTCATTGTTAGTTTGTTTTGGGTTGCAGGTCTGTAGTCGGAGATTGTTTTGTTCTTATTTGTCTACTTGGATATCATGCAGGTGACTCGTTTGTATCTTCCCGGATTGATCCTAGCCTGCGTGTTTCGAGAGAGGTGACCAGGAAAATGCAGACAGGGAGACTTGACTCTTGGTTTCAGTTCTCTGTGAACCTCTGATGTGGTTGGTCAGGGTGCGTGACTCCATTGGCTCCAGCATCCAGCTCAATGGGACTGAATTCAAAAGCAAGTCTGAAATCAGCAGTCTGAAATCAGCAGTCTGAAATCAGCATAGCCATGATGCCTGCCACTCCTGAGTGGCCAGCCTGTGCGTTCTCGTCCTGGTACAAGGAAAACAAGAGTGTCTAGCCTCGGAGAATTTGAGGTGTTTTTTTCGTGTGTCTTGATTGATTTGATTTCAATGAGATGGCAGCGTTTGGGGCTTACAGATTTCGTTCTTTCCCTGCTGCCTTCATTGTTGAGATGGCTGTTGTGGCTGTGGTGTCAGCGTCGTATCCGAACATTGAGGCGGGATCCAGGTATTTCAGCTTTCATGCGTCCTGTGGTTGAAATGATTTGCAGGCTGTGCCCATGACTGCCAGATTGTTGATTGGCAACGAGAAGGCAGTTCGGAGTCGAGGTCCCAGTTTTACTTCTTTGGACATGAAGGTGATGTGACCGAAACGTGGATGTCATCTGTGTCTATAGACCCTCTGAGGTGGCAATGAGTTTGCATACAGGAAGCCTGAAGGTGGCCTGCCTCTGTTGGTCTGTGACACGAGGACTGTCTCAGGCCTGGGAAGAGCCATGTTAAGTCACATGTGCAGTGTTTCAAGCATGTAGTTTTCGTTGTTTATTTGATAGGAGAAGATGGAAAAGTAATGGTTTTGGCACCCACAGCGGTTGCGACCTCGGTGGGTGTGTCAGCTGAGACCTTGAATGTGTATTGAATGAAGCCGTGAGCTTCACTTTAGCAATTGATCAGTTGTAGTTCTTTTCAACCTTTCCTGAGGACGGTCATTGGTTCTGCTGGGAGGGCACTTGGAATGAGGACCACACCGACGTGACAAGAGAGAGGGTGTGTTTCCGTTGCACAGACTCAAATGTGCTGAATGGAGGGTATCACAGCTGGCAGATTAATAACGCCGACGAGGGCCAGCCTCCAGTTTGGTCGGAGTGGCCGATGGTTTGCAGATCTCACTGGCAATAAGTGACAGACAATAAGTTAGTGTGACAATAAGTTTTCATTGGGATTTTTAGAACTGACTGTCGGGAGTTTTGTTTCGTATATGTTTTGCACATCAGCAGTCTGAAATCAGCAGTCTGAAATCAGCTTTGTCTGAAATCAGCAGTCTGAAATCAGCAGTCTGAGAGTTGCCGTGTTTGAGATCTGCTGCTGGCAGTGCGGGGCACCTGTTCGTCATGAAGGAAACAAGGTTGTTTCATTGTTAGTTTGTTTTGGGTTGCAGGTCTGTAGTCGGAGATTGTTTTGTTCTTATTTGTCTACTTGGATATCATGCAGGTGACTCGTTTGTATCTTCCCGGATTGATCCTAGCCTGCGTGTTTCGCGAGAGGTGACCAGGAAAATGCAGACAGGGAGACTTGACTCTTGGTTTCAGTTCTCTGTGAACCTCTGATGTGGTTGGTCAGGGTGCGTGACTCCATCGGCTCCAGCATCCAGCTCAATGGGACTGAATTCCAAAGCAAGTCATGTTTGCTTGTCACATGTTTGTTTCTTTCAATATGAGTTTCACGTCTCAAATCCGCGTTATGGGAAATGAACTTGTCAGAGATCAACCTTTTGTTGCAGGTCAGCTTGTTGACTTTCAAGTCTGAAATCAGCATTATGGGAACTCAACTTGTCAGAGAGCAACCTTTTCTTTCTCGTCAGCTTAGTCTGAAATCAGCAGTCTGAAATCAGCTTCGTCTGAAATCAGCAGTCTGAAATCAGCATAGCCATGATGCCTGCCACTCCTAAGTGGCCAGCCTGTGCGTTCTCCCGCGAGGATGCGGAGAGGTTTTGCGAGATGCTGGCCGCAGCGCACGGTCCAGCCTATGTGGACGACACATTGAACGATGTTTTGCAGAAACTTTTTCTGAAGGCCTTGAAGGATTATGAAATGGATGAGAACACAAGCAACGGTGGCTTGCAGTCATCTCTCTGGCAGATTCGGGATTGTCAGAGTTTGGAAATGCTGCCATCGCTTTGTCAAAATATCCATGATATGAAGATCGCGAAGGAGTATGAAGTCAATAAAAGCAATCCGACAAAGGCAGTCGAGATTAGTGGAAAACAAAAGGCAGGAAATTACTATCTCTCTACCACTGTCAATGGTCGTGGTTGCAATTGTGCCGTCAAGTTTGGAGGTGAAAAATGGAAGGAAACCCAGGACAGCAGTGTGCGTCCTTGCGAAGCGACCATGGAAGGATTGGCAATGCAGAGATGGGTCGTGGATAAGTTGCTCAAGAAGGAGTCCTGGTACAAGGAAAACAAGAGTGTCTAGCCTCTGAGAATTCGAGGTGATCTTTTTTTTCTTATGCTTTTGTTTACTCTGAGATGAGGTTCTTCTGAGATTGGTTATTCTGAGATTGGCAGTCTGAGATGAGCAGTCTGAAATCAGCTTTGTCTGAAATCAGCAGTCTCACGCCGTTTTTTCTTTGTCTGTTTAGTTGGTTGTAATGTCTCTTTGTTTCCAGGTTTCAACATCTTCATGAACCGGTACTCTTATGCCACCGACCATGCCATTTCAATGCACACCGATGCGTCCAAATATTATGATGAGATTGATCCGATCACATCGCTTTCAATGGTCCTGGGATCATTTCTTTTGATCCAAGCGAAGCAGGCTAAAAAACGAGGCAACAAGCCGAGGTGGTGTTTGGTTGTTTACCAGCCGCCTTGCTCCATGCTGATCATGGCTGGGAAGTTTCAATCGCAGTTCGAGCATGCAGTGCCTGCTTGGTTGGACATGAAGGAGATTGCCCATGCGGAACAAAATGCTGAGTTTCAATTGACACGCGGTGGGCAGCAAGAGAATCTCAGACTCCTGTTTGTTGGGCAGGCGAAACAACAGATGAAGGATGAAATTGAGAGACTGGAGAGTCTCAATTTGAACGAGACTCACAGGTGGAATGTGACGGTGAGGTGGATAAGACGCCATAACGAGGACTGTCCATGTCGTGGGAAAAAAGTTGAACTAGTCGGACCTGAGATGCTGAAACCACCTGGAAAGGCAAGGACGCATGAGGGATCTGCGGGGTCGAGTGCCAAGTTACCTTGGGATGCCAAGGCAGCAGCACACCAGAGACAAGAGTTTAATAAAGGCAGGCCAGGAAGTGATGTGCGGAAAGAAAATGATGGTGAGAGGCCAAGTTTATTTGCAGAGCCAGCTTTGGTTGCCACGCTGGAAATGGCGATTGACATGATCACTGTGGAACCATGGCCGCTTTTTTCTGCTTCCTTCTGTGGAGACTCCGGTGTGAGGAGACTGGTCCTAGTTCGGCAGAGATGTTATTTTGTTTTGTTTCCATTCTGACAGCAGACCACTGTAACCTGAGGCCAACCTTTATTGTTTTAATGGCTTAGGGTACTGTGAAAATATGCCAGTGTTTTGTTATTCGATTGAATCCATCGGTAAGGAAAGCAAGATATAACGGCATTGGGGAGCAGATCGCAAGTTTGCTTGAAATTGATGCTTCTCTCAAGGAAATGGTTGAGAAGAACAAAATGTATCCTCAGCAGAGTTTAAGCGTGCAGCGGAAGATCGTGGAGAAGTTGCGCAAGTTGAGGAGACAGGCTTTGCTTTTGGACTTGCTTTGGTTGTCGACAGAGGGACCTAGTTTTGTCGCTGCGATCGACCAAGTGGCTGTCGAAGTTCCAGGCAAAGATCCAAAGCAGTTGACAGTGGTTCAGATGTCTTTTCGTATGTTCAAGGTACTCCTGGATGAGCACCCCATTGATGAAGACTGCCTCCAAGAACATGGTCTCGTGTGCTTGGACTTTTCTGGTCTGCGTGACGATGTTTTGAGCCAAAGCGCGAAAGATAAAAAATGGGATTGGATGACTTTGCAGGGAAAATATTGCATCGAGTCATTCACAGCCTATGTGTTTGATGATTCTGCACCGTCGGATAGCATCAGTATCAGGACCAAACTGACTTTTCTGCAACAGCCTTTGCGTGATGTGGTCCGGATGGCTGAGTCTGGGTCAGGGCCAGAAGAGTCCCTGACAAGTGCTATGCGGTTGGAGAAGTGGTTCGATCTTTATTTGGATCAGATCTGGACACATGAAAGCTCCCAACGGGCTATGTCACCAGACGGTCGGTTGATTTTGTGGATGATACCTCTGCAAACGAGACTCACCTACCTCGGCTCTAAAAGAGCGAAAACAACATGACTGCACCGAAAATCTGCCATTCTGAGATCAGCAGTCTGAAATCAGCAGTCTGAAATCAGCAGTCTGAAATCAGCTTCGTCTGAAATCAGCAGTCTGAAATCAGCAGTCTGAAATCAGCAGTCTGCATTTCTGTCATTGCAGTGGAGCAAAGCTGAGTACGAAGTTTGCTCAGCACATGCTTCAATGGATGGCCACCTGTTCTTCTTCTTTTTATTATTTTCATCATCTTTATTGTTAGTACTATTCATTAAGGTGCCTGCATCATAGAGCCATCAAGTATCGTTGATGCCGAAGCCTCACTTCTTCGGCACGGTGTGGCTGTGATTGCCGTCCCGGATGCACGGCACGCTTGCGAGTGAGGGCAAAAGAGGGATCTGATTGGCACTGTCTGCCAATCCCGTAGGCTCCATGCATGCAAGGCTTTTACCATGCACACTGGCCAGAGGCAGGCTGTTTTTCTTGCAGTTAGTCTGGAGCTGGCATTTCGAGTTGTGCTGCACAGAGTGCCGGCAGCCGCAGGCATCAAGCTCCGTTCCAAGTCATGTTGCAAGGGCAAGCTGTAATGCATGATCGAGAATGCAGGCAGACTCGCAGTGCTTTGCAGAATCAGCCTTATAGAAAGGTTTTAGCGATGGAGGGCCAAGACAATGCACTCGTCTCCAAGAGATTCTGCCGTGGCTTGGCGGCCAGTGTTTTCGTCATGTGCAATCTGGAGCTGGAGGATGTGCGAGCCCTTGCTCGGAAGGGCTTGGTCGATTTGGCACACTGCATTGGGCACATGCAGGAGCTGACCGTATGGCAGGAGGTTGCGGAGTTCTTGTCTTTTTGGGCTGGGGTCTTGTCAGTGGCAGTGCCGGCTTTCTCGAACGTAGATGATTCGGGTAGCTTTGCATGGCCTGCTAAGTTTCCTCCGGTGGGCAAGTTTTTCGTGGCACCTCATGAGAATCTTCCGGTTCCAAAACTTTTGGAAAAGTTCACGATCGAAGAAGAGGGAGACATGTTCAACGGCCTTGTTTCTTCCATCGACTTGGTGCAGCAGCTTCTTGTTCACGTCCCCGAGGAGCTGAGCGACTAGACCCATATAAAGTGCATGCACGCATCTGTGTGTGTGTGTGTCTGTCTGTCTGTCGCATGCTTGCATCTGTTTTTCTTCTTCAATCCCAGCAGCTAAACACTGCAGGCTTTCGTGTGGAGAGGCTTGCCGTGCACATGACGGATATTCTTTCTGTGGTTCACATGCATATTCAGATGCGGAAGCTGCAACTTCTTTCGTGGCTTGCCGATATTATAGCAATCCTGGGCTCACATGTGTTTCAAACATCGAATGAGTTAGACTCCTGCACTCAGGCCGGCGGAGAGAAAGAAGTTCACGGATGTGATGGACAATTTAATGATGGACGAGCAGACGAATTTTGCTTCAAACTGCTTTATTCATGTTGCCGCTTTTTGTGCTATCCATCCACACATTTGTGGGTGTACTGGCTGGCTGCTATGTACTTAGGAAGTGATTGGTTCATGGATGTGTGCTCGGAGCTGCATGCCGTGCCTTGGCGACTTTGCTTGTCCGCCTGAGTCTTTGTCGTGCATTCACAAGCAGAGCTTTGCTCTAGCGAGGTTGGGTATATCCGTTGGCCATGCTGCTCTTGAAATCCTTTGGCTACGCTGCTTCTTGGCAACTCTATTGAACCGGCTGCTTGCATGATATTTTTGTCCTAGGTTCGCCTCCTGGGCAATTTTGGCTACCGACGATATGGTTTTCCTTATTGGACAATTTTGGCTACCGGCGATATGGATTATTGGCTTTCGGGTGCAGACCGGCCTCTGTATCTTTGCTGAAAACCGTGCGGAGCACTGCGATCACAGCATTCGATCGACTTCGATAGTCATGTTCAGGGCTTCGGGTTCACACTGCGATAGCCTGAAATCAGCAGTCTGAAATCAGCTTCGTCTGAAATCAGCAGTCTGAAATCAGCAGTCTGCATTTCTGTCATTGCAGTGGAGCAAAGCTGACTACGAAGTCTGTTCAGCACATGGTTCAATGAATGGCCACCTGTTCTTCTTCTTTTTATTATTTTCATCATCATTATTGTTAGTACTATTCATTAAGGTGCCTGCATCATAGAGCCATCAAGTATCGTTGATGCCGAAGCCTCACTTCTCCGGCACGGTGTGGCTGTGATTGCCGTCCCGGATGCACGGCACGCTTGCGAGTGAGGGCAAAAAAGGAATCTGATTGGCACTGTCTGCCAATCCCGTAGGCTCCATGCCTGCAAGGCTTTTACCATGCACAGTGGCCAGAGGCAGGCTGTTTTTCCTGCAGTTAGTTCTGTTTTCGCAATGGCAATGGCAGCACATTGGAAGCCCAGTCCAGCATCTTGACTCTGGTGCTGAGGAGACGGTGGCGGCTGAGAGTGCGGCAGCAGAGCCTGTGGCGGCGTCTCGACTCAACCCCAGGCCTTTGCTAAGTAGGAGAAAACCCTTTACTCAGGATCCTGTGGCTTCCAGTGCTGCACTGCCCTATGATTTGAGTTGAGGGTTTGAAATTCACGTAGACCTATGTACGGCATGCACCTTGCTTGGCATCCAGGTGCCGCATCCTGATTCCAAGCACAAATCCTATGGGAAATTACAATTCGCACCCTTGTTTTTCTGGGATTCCAAACACAAATCCTATGGGAAATGACAATTCGCACCCTTGTTTTTCTTGGATTCCAAGCCCACAAATCCTATGGGAAATGACAACTCGCACGTCGTTTGGAAATACATATCCTATGGGAAATTACAATTCGCACCCTTGTTTTTCTGGGATTCCAAACACAAATCCTATGGGAAATTACAATTCGCACCTGTGTTTTTCTTGGATTCCAAGCCCACAAATCCTATGGGAAATGACAACTCGCATGTCGTTTGGAAATACATATCCTATGGGAAATTACAATTCGCACCCTTCTTTTTCTGGGATTCCGAACACAAATCCTATGGGAAATTACAATTCGCACCTGTGTTTTTCTTGGATTCCAAGCCCACAAATCCTATGGGAAATGACAACTCGCACGTCGTTTGGAAATACATATCCTATGGGAAATTACAATTGGCACCCTTGTTTTTCTTGCATTCCAAGCACAATCCAAGCCCACAAATCCTATGGGAAATGACAACTCGCACGTCGTTTGGAAATACATCCTATGGGAAATTACAATTCGCACCCTTGTTTTTCTTGCATTCCAAGCACAAATCCTATGGGAAATGACAACTCGCACCCTTGTTTTTCTTGGATTCCAAGCCCACAAATCCTATGGGAAATGACAACTCGCACGTCGTTTGGAAATACATATCCTATGGGAAATTACAATTCGCACCCGTGTTTTTCTTGGATTCCAAGCATTCGCAGCCTTATTTTTCTTGGATTCCAAGCACAAATCCTATGGGAAATTACAATTCGCACCTTGTTCGGAAATACATATCCTATAGGAAATTACAATTCGCATCCTTGTTTTTATTGGATTCCAAGCACAAATCCTATGGGAAATTACAATTCGCACCCTGTTTGGAAATACATATCCTATGGGAAATTACAATTCGCACCCTTGTTTTTCTTGGATTCCAAGCCCACAAATCCTATGGGAAATGACAACTCGCACGTCGTTGGGAAATACATATCCTATGGGAAATTACAATTCGCACCCTTGTTTTTCTTGGATTCCAAGCCCACAAATCCTATGGGAAATGACAACTCGCACGTGGTTTGGAAATACATATCCTATGGGAAATTACAATTCGCACCTGTGTTTTTATTGGATTCCAAGCCCACAAATCCTATGGGAAATGGCAACTCGCTCGTCGTTCGGAAATACATATCCTATGGGAAATGACAATTCGCACCCTTGTTTTTCTTGGATTCCAAACCCACAAATCCTATGGGAAATGACAACTCGCACGTCGTTTGGAAATACATATCCTATGGGAAATTACAATTCGCACCCGTGTTTTTCTTGGATTCCAAGCCCACAAATCCTATGGGAAATGACAACTCGCACGTCGTTGGGAAATACATATCCTATGGGAAATTACAATTCGCACCCTTGTTTTTCTTGGATTCCAAGCACAAATCCTATGGGAAATTACAATTCGCACCTGTGTTTTTCTTGGATTCCAAGCCCACAAATCCTATGGGAAATGACAACTCGCACGTTGTTTGGAAATACATATCCTATGGGAAATTACAATTCGCACCCGTGTTTTTCTTGGATTCCAAGCCCACAAATCCTATGGGAAATGACAACTCGCACGTCGTTGGGAAATACATATCCTATGGGAAATTACAATTCGCACCCTTGTTTTTCTTGGATTCCAAGCACAAATCCTATGGGAAATTACAATTCGCACCTGTGTTTTTCTTGGATTCCAAGCCCACAAATCCTATGGGAAATGACAACTCGCACGTTGTTTGGAAATACATATCCTATGGGAAATTACAATTCGCACCCTTGTTTTTCTTGGATTCCAAGCCCACAAATCCTATGAGAAATGACAACTCGCACGTCGTTGGGAAATACATATCCTATGGGAAATTACAATTCGCACCCTTGTTTTTCTTGGATTCCAAGCACAAATCCTATGGGAAATTATAATTCGCACCTGTGTTTTTCTTGGATTCCAAGCCCACAAATCCTATGGGAAATGACAACTCGCACGTTGTTTGGAAATACATATCCTATGGGAAATTACAAATACATATCCTATGGGAAATTACAATTCGCACCCTTGTTTTTCTTGGATTCCAAGCACAAATCCTATGGGAAATTACAATTCGCACCTGTGTTTTTCTTGGATTCCAAGCCCACAAATCCTATGGGAAATGACAACTCGCACGTTGTTTGGAAATACATATCCTATGGGAAATTACAATTCGCACCCTTGTTTTTCTTGGATTCCAAGCCCACAAATCCTATGGGAAATGACAACTCGCACGTCGTTGGAAATACATATCCTATGGGAAA